AATTATTCTTATTGTGAAAAAATATCCAAAATTGAAAGCACTAAAGTCGGGCTTAGAATCGCTCAGAATACGTTTTTTATTTACTTCTGAGTATTTCTTTTTTTTTCATATCTTTCTGTTTTAAGTGTCCCAGCTGATTTAAGTAAGAAATTAAGATTTTATGGGACCCCAGTTGAGTTCCTGTAGTAAGCTTTTATTGCTTCTTGTTTAATCGAATTAACTAAACTAAAGGATATCTATATTCTTACATGTCCATGCACGCGCTCATGACATTTTCTACTTTGCATTTTGTCGTTTCAGGATTAGCACGTGACACTGGGAGATTCGACTATCGTCTGCTTCAAACCGCCAAACGTTAAACAGTATCATGAAGTGGTAAAGGATGATTCACACAGAAGTAATATAAACAAAATTTGTAATGTCCATTTTTAATGTCTATGGTAAAGACTCCACGACAAGGACCTAGAGTTTGGCGCTTTGTCCTGTTGTCGCTAGCGCCAACGCGACGCACAAAAGCGTGCCAAATCAGCCACCATACATAGGTGATTAGTGTTTTTCAGACACTGATCAATGTGGCGAAGGTATGTCAGTCATCGAGTTTCCAAAATTTACGTTTGGTACGGAAAATAGCGAGATTTGTCGGATTTAAACGAAGGTAGTAACTTTATGTAGAAACATGCACACAAATACATGTACTTTAAAGGAATACTTAATGACCACCAGAAATGACACCGTGTTTATTAGTGACTTGAAAATAAATTATTTTTCCCCTGTATCTTTTGCATAATTCGTGCCAAAGTACACGTAGGTGATTGGACAATGAAATCAACAAACAGCGGATAACTAGTAAGTGGACCTCTTGACAAAGTTGTGTTGTTTTTCCTCCAGTCGCGTAACAGGAACTTATGACTAAATGAATAATGATAGATCTTAACAAAAAACGCACGCTATATAATTAACCACAAAACAACATTAAATGATCATCGTAACGGACCTTTTTCAACACAGTAAGTAAATATTTTAATATATGTACCTTTGTTTAAAAAAATGTGTTAATGCGTATTAATTCACGTACATTTTTGTACTTTAAACACATTTAAAGTTGTGTTTGCAAAATAACAGTGAAATATACTCTGTATTTATACACGTTTCAAGCATTAGCCTGACTAAAATGAATAGAACCATTTGCAGAAAGGTGAACACATACAAAGGTACAGTTATTAAAGGGACTCCACTGAGATTATTTTTTTTAAAGGACGCGAATGAAATTAATTTTTCGAGATAAATGTTCCATTTGTTTTCATATACAGCTGTAGGTCTAGACCAATAACGTGTGAGCAAAATTACAGATCATTCGCTCCCTGTACTCTTCCAAGTGTAAAATAAAACATGTCAATAAGTGAACTTCATTGAGATCCAAGTTTCTAATAAATATGAAATTTTACATACACGTAGATCAACTGAGGTAGTCAAAACGTAAATTATGATAATAAAGAAATATACTAAAAAATAAGTTCAAAATCGACATTTTGTGCTATTCCTAGCCCCATTTCACTTTTGGGTCATTTTGCACAATTAAAATGGTTATTGTAAAAAAAATAAAATAAAATAAATAGAAAATAGCCGAACTTTTGCAAACACGGTATTGGGCCAGACCTACCTCAGGTTTATGTTATTTTTTAAAAATTGGGATCTTCATGCTGCATTTTGACCTTAAAAATAAGTTTTCTTTTTTTAAGATCACTTAAAGAAGTCCAATAACTCATCCAAGCGTACTTATACCTTATATCTTTTATTACTATTATTACTATTATTATTATTATTATTATTATTATTATTATTATTATTATTATTATCATCATCATCATCATCATCATCATCATCATCATCATCATCATCATCATCATCATCATCATCATCATCATCATCATCATTCATCATCATTATCATTTAGTAGAAGCTGTAGAAAAAGAATGGCGCATAAAACATCAACAATATTTTTCACTCTGACAATAAATTAAATAATAAAATTAATGCAAAATAGAAACCAAATGACCTTAAAATAAGATGAATATAAATAAGTAATTTGTTCCAATTATAATTTAATCATGCAAAGTTTAAAGCAGCATGGCTGCAGATTCATGCTAATTTTAATGAGAATTTTGAAAATGTATATGAAAATGTATATGAAAGGTAAAATATTGTGAAATTGACTAAGATATGATTTACACTTTGCAAACGGCACTTACTATCCAAGTAAATTACCAAAAAGAGGTAAACATATTCACAAATCGCTCTTAGTGTGTAAATCACGCAGTAGAAATAGGTAGATAAAAATCAGTCACTCATTGCACATATCATGTAAATTATTATTTGTATCTTGACTTTTACTTTTCTTAAAAATCTTGATACAATTTTCTCAAGTTTGATTTTCTTGAAATAAATATGCTCTTCTGGAGGCATGCAACTTTGAAGATAGTTCTAAAGGCATAAGTGTCCGCTTCATAATATTTTACTATTAAATACATTTTCGTTTAAACTAGCATGTATCTGGAGGCATGCCACTTTAAAACTGCAAAAATGATAGGCTATTGTATACTAGAGGTTAGATAAATACCCACTGATCAGACTGAATTTTTGAACATAGACCGTATTGTTTGGTGATTTATTATAATATAGTCTAAAATAACCTTTAGCCTTGAAGAAAAGAGTTGATTTTATGACGTCATCCTTTATTTTAGTGAATCAGGAGTTTAAAAAGTGGACTAAACAGAACGTTTAGTTAAATATTTGAATTTATTTGCATAGCCTTTAAGCACGGATGTGCAGACTGGTCTGCCTCTATATGTACAGCGCAAAGGCAAGTCATTTCCGGCCATGCAGGCTAAGGGCTAATGATGAAGTAAGATTGTATAATATTTCAATCACAGCTTTGTTAAAACCATCTGCTCTGTTGACATACTGGCTTTGATTCATAGAAAGCGTTCTCAAGAACTTTTTAAGCTAAGCTACGAGTACGTGTGTGGCGCCATTATATGTCGCATCGCCGCTTAATGTCGCACTTGCGAAAAATCCTATTGCGATAACTGCTGCAAGAGTTACGTACAAAATTAAAAGAATTCGACTCGACAAGTGAGTAGACCATCGTGTCTTCGTGTCTCCGACCTTGACTACGGAGGAGCAAAGACACGACGAAACGATAAATTGGCCTGATGTTGTAGCTCAAATCCACGACATATGGGATGCTAAAAAACAACAACAAAAAAAAAAACAAAAAAAAAAAAAGAACAAAAAAAAACAAAAACAAAAAAAAAAACAAAAAAAAAAACCGTACACATAAGTGTTTTATCACCATGGAGGTCTTGAGCATAAGATATGGTCGTCATTTTTAATACCGGCTAGATAACTTCAATTTTAACTAAATGTTTTGTACATCACAGCAAATCCTTTCCTGTCTGATAGATAGCTAGTCCCAAGATAACTTACATAACGTTGATATTGACAATTATTTAACACAAATTTTGGTTTTGCGACATTTAACATCATTTAACGTCAAAACATTTTGTGGCAATATCGCGACATTTAGTGACAATAACGCGACATTTGACGTCGTTGCGACATATAACGGCACCGCATGCTCGGGAGGGCTCAAAAGTGAGACTACATGTAAAGTATTAGTTACAAATATTTTGACAGGTTATAAGATTTATTGTGATCTCTTGTGCGTGTGGCTTCAACAAAGTTTTTGAAAAACAGTTACGTTCTAATCATTAGTAAAACAAAAGGTTACATGGTCATTTTTACAAAACTGGCACGGACGATTGGAAGTCTCGTTAAAGCTCTCTTTTTTTAGAAATATTTCAAAGTTTAGATTATTTTACAAATGAAAAATTGTGTCATTCATTTGAACCATTAAGAGTATCATCCCATATATTACTAGTAGAGAATGGTCTTAATCTTTTGCTACGCCATTTAAGATCCTGTATGTTGTAATTAAGGATGTAACTACATTTGAGTGAAATTTTATATATGTTTATAATCATGCTTCTAAAACAATTTGAAACATCGAAGAATATGTCAAGTATGTACTGCAAATGTTTGTTGTAGAATGTGTTATGTAGATAAAAATACATACCATCAAAGTACTGGAGAAGACCTGACAAATTCATAGATTTGTTAAATACCGAAAGCCAAAATGTAATAAGAATGCTCGGAAAATTTATTTGAAATGCTTTTGTGAAGCGGAACGATTTGTTGTATAGAAATACTGATAAGACTTTAGAATATGTTCATTATTGTATCTAAATATGTTACTATAAATACACATCACATAAATATACCAAAAGCACCATCATCTGTTTAGCTATTCTTATATCTCGATTGTTTTTGTACGATTTGCTTTGATAATAGGTATGTAGTTATAAGCCAATTTCGGTTGATAGATCTTTATTTTTCGTTTCGTTAAAGGAAATAAATTCGAATTATTTTACAAAGGTGTCATATTTGTCTTTCTACTTCGAAAAACGTTGCATTTAAAGTATAATAATACTGTTGATTGTTTCTATGCAATGAATTTACTAATAATTATTTCATGCGACATTTTCCTTATTTACTTTAATATGCATAAATGCCTTGTTTTAGTATATTTGTTACATATCTCTGTCTATCATGATATTATGCTATGCTTGTCCTCATGAGCTTTTAGCCTGACGAACTGAATAATAAATTGGTCCTATCTAAAATATATAAAATCATAGGCGAGGGTTATATTGCAAATAACGGTATATACGGACATATAACATGTAAAAAATCTTCATAACGAATATTTGATATAGCAAACGTCTTTTGTTTAAGGCAAAATAACACTTAATCAATAAATTTACAGCAGTCGTTTATATAAGACTATATAAGTGTCCCGATCATCCAATGAAAAGCGACTTTACAAATGGGCAGAATATAATATGGATAACAACATTGTTTTAGACTTAATTCTCTTACAGAGTATGGCTTTGGTGAGATCGAGCATATTAGTGTGTTACTGTGTGGCTATGGTAACTTCTACGAACACGGAAATGGATGTACCAACTCCATGTGTCACAGAGGTCAATATCAAGGACATGTTCAGCTATTTTCACATGAATGGGCGACCTCTTAAGTCCGTAGGATAGTATGTATTACATTTGTAACATTTTACGATTGGATAATTTACAATTGTGCATCAAATGTCTATATTTTGATTGCCTTGGTTGCGTTTCATAGAAAGTCCTATTTTGAAACCGAAACTGGGTTACCTTTTGTTTTTAAACAAAATGTCCTAACTTTTTACTCCTACATGAATGCTATGACTTAATTCTTCAATTGTTGCGAGCCTCTGGTGAGCATAATATTGTTAAATTCAACAAGGTCAATAAATCTGGTAATAACCCTGGATGACTTCAATATTCTATTGATCAAATGCCTAAAATAAGTCCGGTTTACAGTAAAAAAAATCAGAATAGTTCTATGACGCACCTATAGTGTAACGTTAACATTAGCGCGTCTTTTACGATTTGTTTGTATACACGCTTTAAAAATATAACACTGGAATATTATCATTCTCATTAATTAAATGGCTTTATTTTACTCATGCGACGTAGTGAATATGATAAAGAATACATGTAAATTGTTTGACCTTTTATGTACCAGGAATAATTCTGATAATAGTAAATGTTTTGTTTTTCAGCATATTGTTCATTCTTGAAGAAAGTGAGGCAACTTGTTCACTCAATACAACCAAGATTGTTGACGAAATGGCACTTCCAGCATCCCCGAGAGCAGACACAATAGTGTTTGCATGCCGGCAACGGAAGCATCTTTATATGACAGAGTACAACGGTGAGCAACACGACCATATTATCATTGATGTACAGGTTTCCAACTGCACACTTGACATTCCCAATTTTGACAATCTTCTTAATGTAGGAGATACCAAAGTATTCATTGTTGCATCAAATATATCAAGGTTACAAATACCGAATGGTCGTAGAAATGTGAAACCCGAAGGTTTGCAAAATATCGTTGCGTTAGTATACATTCATTTGTACAAAGATGTTCCTCAACTGACAGATATTTTTGATACCAATCAAACATATCCTCAGCTAGCAGAAATTGAGCTGAACAATATGTCTCTTCAAATCTTGCCTGAGAACATCAATGTAATATTTCCAAATCTACAAAGTTTAGAACTTCCAAAGAACAACCTGATATGGCCTCCTGAGCAATTCCCATGGATTCAATCGACAGTTAGATTGCCGAAAAATATGTCACGCAGCCCATTCATGCAAAGTCATTACAGTAAATCGGAGTATGTGGATATGCCGGATTATATATTCCGACGGTATTTTACTCTCGATGACAATCGGATAGAGAACCTAAGCAACTTTTCATTTCATGGAGTATTGCACAAGATAAGCCTCAGAAGAAATGGTTTGAACACTTTAGGAAACGCAACATTTACAAATGTTAGCGGGCTACAAAATCTCGATCTGGGTGAAAATAATTTACAATATCTGCCTGAACAGGTTTTCACGGGTTTGACATATCTAAAATGTCTGATATTGAAAGCAAACAAGCTTCAGAACTTATCTGCTTTGTTATTCGACGACTTATATTCAATCAAGTTCTTAGATCTATCCAATAACTCGATTTCCTCCCTACCAGCAGGTCTGTTTACAAACCTTATCAAGCTTGAGGAACTACGATTAGAGTACAACCAGCTTCAGGTCGTCAGCCCCAATGCTTTTCCAATTTCATCTATACATCTAAAGAAGTTACATTTCCAATTTAATCCGATTCAAACACTCCCAGAATTTCCGTTCTGGATTAGAAGCCTCATATTAGCCAATTTCCATGCTACAAACATAAGAATTGATAATTTCACGGAATTTCTTGAAAGTATGGATGAGTTGAAAGTGCTTTCCAGTATAATTGATTCTGCCAGTAACTCAGATGCAAAAGATCTGCTTGAAAGGGCAGATGTTTTAAGGAAGATCGATTTGTCAAACTCTAATATTAGCAGTCTCCAGTTGGAGGACAATTTACCAAAGGAACTTGATATTTTTCTACTTATTATTTTACTCCATTTTGAATTTGACCTAAAGGGCAATCCATTAATGTGCGATTGCAAGATAAATAACATTTCGCAGTTTATAGATACAAAAGTAGTGAATGGAACAATTTCCGACGATGAATATTTTTTCAACGACTGGGTGTGTCAATCACCAGTTGAATTGGCCGGGAAAAAGTTACTTAAGGTAGAATCCAAGGACACCTACTGTGGCATAAACCTCACTGACTGTCCTTTAGAATGCACCTGTTCTAGAAGATCAACTGTTAATCGTATCATTGTTGACTGCAGGAAAAAGAAGTTATCGACTATACACAATAAACTGCCAATGGGTCTGTTAGAACTGTGGTATAGTGGTAATAATATAACGGAAATAAAAGAACTAGCACACGCTGAAAACATTTACACATTAGACGTAAGTTTCAATAACATTGTCTATCTTGATTCGAACCTGTTTACAAAAATGCTTTCACTAAAGGAAATGCGGTTACAAGCAAACGCTCTTGCCTATTTACCGAGCACTCTTATGGAAATTAAATTTATAAGTGTAACAATCTGGCCAAATCCCTTTACATGTGACTGCAAAACATTGTGGATGAAAAGCTGGTTAGTGGATAATCGAAATGTCATTATAGAGTCGGACAAAGTGACTTGCAAAATCGAAAAGGAAAAAGGAATGCGTTTTACTGAAGTTTCCAATGAAAAGTTTGTTTGTCATGAAAATTCTGTTTTTGATGAAACTAGATATGTTGTTTTACCGTCAGTGGTCTGTTCAACAATTGTTGTTATTGTATTGATATTTTCGATTCTTATCTATGCCTACAGGCTAGAATGTAAGGTCCTTCTTTTCGTCTACTTTGGCGTTCATCCATTTGACAAAGACTGTGCAAAGCTTGATGAAGACATAGACTGTGTAATTGTACATTCCGGAATAGAAACAGACTGGGTCATGGATAGAATTGTGACATTGCTAGAAAACGAAAATTACCGTTTTGTTGTTTGCGATATGGCGAGGGATTTCGTTATCGGATTTTCGTTTCAAGAAAATCTTACTAGAACTGTAAGGCACAGTAAAAGAATGATATTCTGTTTATCAAACGACTGGTCCACGTCCTCCGAGAAACTCCTCATTGCTTGGCGAATTGCCCAAGAAAAGATCAAAGAAACCAAGTCGCATTACGGTATTATCGTATCACATGAAATGAACATTAAGGACATAAATGAAAAAGATTTAAAGCTGTTTGTGAAACGAGGGAGGTTTGTAGATTCAAACGATAAATTTTTCAAAGATAAAATTGTGTACTATATGCCTCAGGTTGACAGCCCGAGCGTAGATAATGTCCAAATTGTACGGTTCAGAAGAAAAAGCGAGTACATTTCAAAATGTTTTATAAATAGTTATTGCGAAGACGTGGTTGAATATCATGAGAACGAGACCGAAGATGGTGCTAACATCAAACTGAATACTCATGTTTTTATTTCATATCACGACGATGACTTTGATTATGTATTAAAAGAACTGTTGCCGATGCTTGAACAAAATGACTTCAGCTATTGTATAGCAGATAGAGATTTTGTCCCTGGCGCTTCTAAAGAGGAAAATATTCTCAATGCCATTAACCGCTGTCATAGAACATTATTCATCATGTCTCAGTCACACGTGGACAATGAATGGTCATTATTCACATTTAGGGCTGCTTATGAAAAGTCATTAAGAGAAAAATCAAATCATCTTCTAGTGTTAATTAAAGAAGAAGTGGAGCGTGAAAAGCTGGATGAAGAAGTCAGACATTATTTACATAATTACATTTGTCTGAATGTAAACGACAAGTGGTTTGAAAAGAAGTTGTTTAATGGACTTCCTTTACTGAAAGACAGAGAGGATCTTCACACATCTCCACTCTTTCTAGGAAATGCAGACCTCAAAGAGGAAGATATCTCTGTTGACTGCGAACAGATAACTGAGATCTGAGAGAAGACAATTTGATATCAACAATTTAAGTTATGGTGTCCCAATGTGATAAACTGTGATATCATACAGTAAAAGATATTGTATGAGTCGGCCGTATTGACCACATGTTTACGTCATCGATGCATTTCTTTTTCAGAATTGGGTTTAAATTGTATATGAATAATGTATATTAAGAATACAGATAAATGAGTGTTGGTAGTATATTACAATATAATTAAAATAAAATATTCCAAAATGTAATACTTGCTTATTCGTCACCAATCAGTCGATATCAATTTTAACTACATTATATCGAATCATAAGTGTGGCTCATGAGTATGTTATAAATGCTATATGAACAATTATAGTCACAGAGATGATGATGATGATGATGATGATGATGATGATGATGATGAAAATCTAAGATTTAGGATTTTATAAGTACAGTGGGTTTTTCGTTTAGGGCACACGCTTTTTATTACTTGGGGACCATACGCCGCTTTTCATGGAATGGCACGGAAGTGTCACATTGAAGGTTCCATGATTACCGCCGTATGAACACATCTGCGGATGTTTCTAAATTCAAAATTTTACTATTTCACGTTTAAATGTTGAATTCTGCTTAAGCCGGTGCTAGGGGGCGTGGACGGTAATTTGCATTTTCCAGTACCGTCCATGAACAGGCTCAATCAAACCGAGCCTGCAACATTTTCAATTTTGCCGTGTTGGGCTTTCTTTAGGGAATCTATATTTATCTATTTTATGATCACATCCGTGTTATTTGTGCCGTGTGGCGGCTGTAAAAAGTCTCCCCGTACATTTAATCAATGATGTTATATTTTCGATCCTTGAAGATCGTTCAGCACGACATTATTGTTGTGCTTGTGGTATTTTTAGTTTCAACTTTTCGGCATTTTCTATATGGGTGGTTCCAATATTCCTACTTGAATAATGTTGAATCACCCTTAGGATATGTTGCCTGCTTTTTAAATTGTCTTTTGACGTCTTATCTGTGATACGCAGGCTTCATAACCTCTGATCCCCTTTCAAAATTCCATTTTATTTAGTTCCGCCCATTGTTTTCTCGTTTAGGGCACACGCTTTTTATTACTTGGGGACCATACGCCGCTTTTCATGGAATGGCACGGAAGTGTCACATTGAAGGTTCCATGATTACCGCCGTATGAACACATCTGCGGATGTTTCTAAATTCAAAATTTTACTATTTCACGTTTAAATGTTGAATTCTGCTTAAGCCGGTGCTAGGGGGCGGGGACGGTAATTTGCATTTTCCAGTACCGTCCATGAACAGGCTCAATCAAACCGAGCCTGCAACATTTTCAATTTTGCCGTGTTGGGCTTTCTTTAGGGAATCTATATTTATCTATTTTAACGTTAAACACGGTTATCTGGTCTCCGTTTAACCGGTTAGCATTTTTTCTAACCGTGACACCACTTACAAAAAGTGTATCAGCAACCTTTTACAGCGTATATGAATATATTCAAAAACTAATAGATACAACAATATTGAAAAATAAGAAAAGATAATTTTCACAGCAATAGGTACAAAGCACGGCATTGAAATGGTCAGTAGTCAATTAAACAACTTTAACAACAAAGCAGTTTAAAAGAGCACAGTTTATACAATAGCATATAAAATATAACACTGTCAAATGTACGTGTTAAATTATAATGTAATAATGAAACATGTATACATGTATTACAGAACAGACGACGAAAATCTGTTTTTCATGTTGTAAAATAAAGTGTAAAGTTAGACGGAGTTGCTCCCCTTACTTAGAGGCAGATCACAATCATCACATGGCTGCAATCACTGTTTGACAGGAATTCCGAGAACGATTCTCTTATAGTTAATTAGGTTTAAACATCAAACCGAGATACCATTAAACTCGGAATATATCCTTATTAGACAGGACGCTTTTCATATATGGATGTAAGAAAAGGTCGACTTAAAACTAAATGAAAGACGCATACGATAACTGTAGCCTGCTATTTTGTGTTTGAAGATATCACTTGGATATCTTCAGAAAATAATTGCATTGAAATCAATTTAACGGAATTCTGTTCACCAGAATGTGATTGTTTACCAATTTAGGAACAATAATGTAATGAACGAGACAGTTACCTTCTCTTACCACAGCTGTTTGTATCTTAAACAGTAATATCATCATCTTAGTGCATTAACGGGCTAACTTTTTAATTAAATTTAAAAAAGCAATGCATTAGAAATGCTTTTTGATACAAATTTCCATCACTTACGATTAAGTATTTATATAAATTAGGGAGTTAAAACTAGCTGAATATATATACGAAAAAAATCATCATCTTATTCATATAATTATGTTATTTACAAGTACAAATGTACATATATCTAAATCTACTAAGAGTAAGTGGCTCTTTTCTTAGGCTAATTATTATGTAGACTGTTAATCTGCCTCTACACTGACCCAGAGTAATCTACTAAAAGGGTCTGCATGTATGTATAGTCTAAGCCATTATGTTGACAAATGGTCTAAATTTGACTGGCAGAATTTTATAGCAGGAAGCTCAGCTGGGGTCCATGCAGGTTCCAATACACAAGGATCTAGCTTCTTTCATTTATCTAAAGCCAGATTTTGCTTATATCTTAAAGAAAAAAGTCAGGTCAGGGTGTCTGGAGGCTCCAGCCCTATAAGCCCCCCCCCCACCCGATGGATCCGTGTGTGTAATTGTCAAATAGTCTGTTTCATAAATTAATTTTTCTATTAAAATGTCCAATTTGAGACCTTTGAGACATAGCTTTGTCTTATAGCTGAACAGTACTTGAATATGTTGGTTAACAACTCGTATTGTCTAGCATGTAGATCGAAGTCCAGTATGTCAGAGTTCATGATGTCGAGAAAAATACAGACTTGTCTCGATGCCTTTTTTTTCGCTAATATATATTTGTTTGATATGTTATTCAAATTTACCATAGTACACATACTTCTACACAGTACACACTACTTTTAAGTTGCTTTGACAGATGCGTAATCGTATAATTTACGCTTTTTTGCAAATGAAGGAAATTGAATCATATATCAAATACCGAAACAAATTTTACATGAAAATATTGCAGTTGAGATTGTTTGGTCTGATCATCGATAAAGTAGGTCAGAAATTACTATACTACAATCTCATTCTTCTGCGCGGAGGATTCGTTATTTTGAAAATTATTTCTGTCACCGACAAAACAGAAATTGCAATTAAACTGGAACATAAACGCTTTCAACAAATTCCGACAGTATGTGTGTGCTTTATATGATTAAATATAAGTACTATTTGTTAAGATGTTTTTCGGCTGGAGCTACATTTTCGATTGTAGCCTTCAAAATGCCATGTGCAGATGACAAAGCTCTGAACTGGCGCGTCCGTTGCAAAACCAATGCAGTTTCATAATGCTTATATTGGTATATTAGTCAAATGAAAATGGAGACCTACTTAGTTCTGCAGTTTTCTCAATTGATACTTTTAAAAATGTCGTTGGTCATAAATGCAATAGAGGCGTTCGATAGCTTGAATAAGTAATTGTATGCTTTATTGTGGAAATATAACAAACAATGAAAATACAGGGCTGAGAGAAAAAGAACTTAACAAAAAGGTGAAGGGAGGCGATACTTTCCTGTTCGTCGATTTGATTGACTGACAGGTTGCCCTGAAAGACGCGTGTTCAAGCACATTTTGGTAGCAGACTTATACTTTAAGTGGGAGCATTCAGCAGGTGCGCGATGACGTAGTATCCTACCATTGCTACTATGACTATTTGATTCTTTATGAAATTCTAACATATACATAGAGCTAAATAATCTCGAGTTTTTGTATTTTGCTAATAAAGAGAAAATATCTGGATAATTTAATATTATGATAACCTTAAAATCATTTAAGTTTTGTACAACATGCTATTTTCTTATTAATATAATTATTGACCGTTTAGGAAATAGTATTGTTACTTTTTCAAGCCAAGTTTACTCTAATTTTCATAAATGTATACTTATATTTTTGCTATAAACATGGTAATAATGCTTTATTTACAATAAAGTTATTTGTATTGTACTGTATATAATTATTATACTGATATCATTCTGATGAATGGCGTACAAAAGTACTTAATTAAGTATTTAATACATACATGTGTTGCTGTTGGCGCCTTCATGTTTGTTATATTTCAGCGAAATACCTGTAATATTTATGATCTTTATATACATTTTATTATACATATATAATATTAACACATCTATAACGTTAATCAGTGTATATCTAAGTCAGTTGTGTAAAATGATGATGATGCATAATTTGATTTTCTCACAGTTTCTGATACAGGTCTTGTCTTTAGTTCAGCTCCTGGTGGAAGCGGTGGTTTCCGGGTCATCCTTGGTAAAGATTCAGATTGAGGTCTTCTGGCGAACCTTGAATATATCAACTTTTGCTTTGTGCTCATTACACTTGAACTTGAACCGTACTCATTATCTTTTATAACACCCGTGTCCTTCTTACCTACATTAGAAACCGTCTTGTACGGTTTCATACCGTACCATTCATCAAACTGTTCCTCTTGTACGGTTACTTTGTCATCTGATAACCAAGAGTCGTTATTTAAGTCGCCATTATCTTCCAGGTCTATTATATCGGTTGAATCTTCAATTGTTCTGTAGCTTATAGGCGTCATACCCGCTTTGATATGCGCATAATGGTCATGCTGGGGATGATCCCAAGATTCAACGCCAACACTGCGCAACGTGTCTGTACTGCCGAATACCCTTTTACTGTCCATAGTCCAAATACTTGTTCCAGAATTGGGTCGACTTTTTAATGACTTTAATGAACCCTCCAAGAAAACATCGTTATCTTTCACATTCAGTGGACCAACGTCTGCGTGATGTGGGATGTAATCGGATTGTCGATTCTTTGTTCGTTTACGTTTGCGAGCTAATCTAGTATTTTCAAGATCTTTTTCGTACAAAGTTTTAGGCATTTGTATCACATGACTTTCAGACTTTATTTCCTGTTCATTGTCAGTATGGACATGTATTTCTGACAATGTTCCAGGTTTGTCTTTCATTACCCTATGTAAGTGCGTTTCTGTGCTTTCTGATAACTCTTCCTTCAAAGGTACCTGTTTCTTCGACATATTTGAACCAAGTTTTGCTTTCATAACATTATCTTTTTTATTAAGGCGTTTATCATTTAGATTTGTCACTTCTTCTTTTTCTGGAATCACGGAA